AAAAGTTGTTTTTCAAAAATCGGCAGTAACTTAAAATTTTGATTACAAAACCGCCTTTCGTGTTCTAACAAAAAAAAATTCCTTGCAAAATTTTAGTATAAAATGTTTTATTAGACCTTTATACTGCTTCAACGATATTTCTATTATTTGATCGAAAGGGAGGATTTTTCTTCGTCCAATAGGAAGTGGGGGAGAAATTAGTAAACCCTAAATTCAGGCGATCACATAATTAGCCTATTTTAGACATATAAATGATCGTGCAATCGAGATAATATCTGTAAATTAAAGTTAGACCAATGATTCCATACAATATACAAATATAGAAGTTAAAAAGTCCCATTTTGTAATATAATTTCGAGTAACTTGAAGTTCGTTTTATGTATCTATTTTTATATGATTAACTTTTGTAATTTATAGCAAACTTTTTATTCTATTCAAAAATCAAATAAGATTTTTGAAAAATTGTCAAAATGGGCAGGTAATAATTTATATGCGTCACATGATTTTAATTTACAAATTTATTAGTAATCAATTTAAAAAACTACCTGGTTTTAGACGACCTCCATACAAAAGTGTACGTACGTACTACATGAACCTTGTGAAGATGAAACATTGAAGCTCCTGGTATGCATTTACATTTTTACTTCTCCACATACATTGTTCAATAGATCAAGATTTTGCGGACGCGCAATTAGTCGTGGATCTGTTTGAGAATTTTTACAGTTACACTAATCATGTGATCATAGTTAATCTTTATTATGAATTTCTATTCGTTTATTAATCTAGCCGATAATGATTTAATATCGGATATTTGTCTTATAATAAATATAAAAATAAACAATATACACCAGATTCATTATAAAAATTTACCAATACAACCACTAATACAAAACCAATATCGTTAAAGTTAGTAAGAGTTAACAGTAAAGAATGTCATATATGCAAAAAATTTCGATGGGATATTGTAATAATTAAAATTAAAATGATAGAATAGAATAGACAAGTTGGATTACATGTATTTATTATATCAATAATGAATTAGGATCAAGCTTAAACTAATTTCGATGGAAAACTATGATTTTCTTGATGTTCAAATTTACGTGTATTCACATTTGACTGTAGTTTATATTTTGACAAAACTTTGTAAATTCGTCGATTTGTGAAAATTAAAGGATCTTCTATAGGCATATAGAATTATTATAAAATTATAATATATAAAAACTAACTATTTTGAGTTACTTTAAACTTTAATCTTCTCCCTAATTCTATTTATAAATTTGTATGCCTACCTATACTATAGGTCAACCCAACTACATTGAATAATTGATCGTATTGAATTTTAAGAATAAATAGAATGCAATGGGTTATTTAATCTCATCTTTATGAAATAATAAAGAGCTAAAATTTTTCCAATGAATCAAAAACATAAAGCCGCAAATAAAAAAGAATTTTGTGCACCAATCAAGGATCAAAGTGAAATTGAAAACCTTGCATTTTACGAGCATCAGGTTTATGGTCATGCGTTTAACGGCAATATAGGCGCTCCAGTTCATGAAAAGCTGCGAAATGGTGCTAAAGTATTAGAATTTGGGTAAAAGAATTTCTTGTTTATTTGATATTATTATTTTCTGTAAACTTCTAATAACTTAAAATTATCTTATTTGTATCAATTCTAAAAAAGTTGTAGGACAGGCATTTGGACTATTGAAGTATTTTAACTTATTTCCATTATATGAACTTTGTAACTTTGAGTACTACTATAGCAACTAATTTTACATTAAATTAGGTTGCCGATGAGTATCCGAATTCGAAGTTTTACGCAATTGATTTTACCGCGAAAAATTCTATTGAAAATATTAAATTTATTAATTATGATATTCATCAAAAACTACCATTTCCTGATAATGAATTTGATTATATCTTTTCTAGAAATAAAACAAGTTTCTTTTCAAAGGATATTTTTCAAAGATGTTTATTTGAAGTCCTTAGAGTATTAAAACCAGGCGGCTGGTTAGAAGTAAGAAGGGTGTTTTTATTTTTTAACTTTGCGATTTAGTAATTAAATCCGAAAATTATTAATATTAGGTTGGACTTACATTTCGTAATAATGAATTTGTTCCTGGACCAGCCCTCACACGATTAGATAACGCATGTATGTTTGTCGATTTTTAAAATTATATTTAGAATTATTTTCTTAATTCATTCATAATTTTTTTTTTAGATGCTTTGTGGCATAAGAGATATGGATTTAACCCCGATCTAATATTAAACTTAGAAGATCACCTTAAAATGATTGGAAAAACCGAATCTATATCATCTCAGACATTACACTTCGCAGTTGGAAACGATCATTTTGGAGAGTTTTCTTATGAAATTTTTTTATACCATATAAGACTTTTGAAAGAAGCTTTTGCTCCTATTATGGGAATTTCATTTGAAGAATATGACCACTTTGTAGGAGAAATTGAAAATGAAATGAATGAACGACTTGGCGAAATAATTTATAGACACAAAAAAGTACTTGCAAGAAAGAAAGATATGGGCATTATTAAGGATGCTTAAAATTGCACATACATTATTTATAAATGGATATTGCTAACTTGCCTCCTGATTAACATAACCACCATCTTATTATAACTTAAAAACAGCATAAAATTATCTTGATGCATTAATTAGCACTATAAAAACCTGTTCTAGCTTTAACTTTATCCCTAACCCTAATTTTAACTCCATTTTAATATTAATTCTAAGTTTAATTTTAAATTTTGAGTAAAAATTAATAATAAATTATGGGAGAAAATTTATAATTTTAAGCCGGGTTAAAATTAGGTAAATTCTTTATAAATAATAAAATTTTTATACTTGCTACATAAAGCTATATAAACTTAGTAAGTGGGCTATTATAACCCGGCCGGGTCAGATTCTACAACTTTTGAAAATTTTTTTTTGACTATATTTACCATCCGGTGGATTTTCATCGGGAGTGCAGATCTATTATATAAAAAAATTGTAAATTTGCGCAAATCTTCAAACCTGGTGTTATTTTCACAGAAAATAGATACAATTCTGCTCAGAATTTTGTTCTTTAAAATTTTTGTAGATTTGCACTAAATTTTTTTCAGATACTGTAAAAACCCGTGTTTTCACAGATATCTACAGCCCATTTAACCAACACCACATAGTATTAGGGTTAGCGTTTTATTAGCTGCATATATATATAATGGTAAATTGTCACCCGTGTGATGGATGTCGATTAGATGGGTGTCGGTAAATGGGGTGAATCCATGGGAACGTTTATCTTGGTGACTGTTATTTTAATGGTTTTGGAGTCAAAAGAGATGATCATAAGGCATTTATTTATTATCAAAAATCTGCTGATATGGGCTATACTGACGGAATTTATCGTATGGGGCAATTTTATTGAAATGGAATTGGAACAATAAGAGACTTACAAAAGGTCAATTAATGGCTTTCTTATTACTATTATAGCGCATAAATATAACTATAAACGTTAAAAAAAAATTCGATTAGAGCACGGAAACAAAATATCAGGTAACTAATTTTATTAAGTATATTCATTTGTCAACCTATTTGAGTCTAATGACAGAACCTCTATCAGCAATAATATGCAAATATATGATAGATGATAATTTAAAAGCAATATTAACAGAAAGTAAAAATATTTATTATCTTGGATTCCTTGTAATGAATTTAAACCTATTGAAAAAATAGGTCAAGGTGGATTCGTAACAGTATATCGTGCCGAGTGACTAGATTCAAGCCAAAACGTTATACGAACTAAGTGCATCGTGAAGAATTTGTAAGAGATAATTTTATTTGTATGTTAATGTATTTAAATTTTTTTTGATATATTATAACCAATTATTTTTCAATACTAAAGTTAAAAGCATATTATGATATTGGGAATAAAGATTTGACATTTGTAAGGTGCTTTAGAATATCAGGAAATGATAATTCTAAAAATTATATCCTTGTTATGGAATATGCACCCATGGGCTCTTTGCGTAGCAATTTTTTCTTTATAGTGTTACCATCGGTTGGGAGAGCAATTGTGGATGTTGATCCAATTTAGCTTGGTTCGGGATTTATAACTCTTGTACACGTGATATGACGTCACGAAACTCTTAAACTGAGTCGGGATTATCACTTAAACTTTAATTATCGAGGTAATTTATTATATAACAATAAAAGAAGAAATGCAAGATAATAATAATAATAAAGAATAATACAATAATAAAAGAATAAAACTAAACTAATAACTAATACTACACATGTGAGAATCCGATTCTTATTATAAACTCTATAACTAAGACATCGAAGGTTCTAAATCATCATTTGAGACAAGGTCTAAATAACTTAACTAAGGCAGAAACCCAGGCCTTAAATACCTTTTAATTTACTAAGAGCCACTGCGCTATCTTTAATCCCAATCTTCTAAGACTCTTTGTACTATCAACAAGACATCGTCATTGCTTCTCTTGTTATATCAACAAGACACCCATGTCTTGTTTACATAAACATTCGTGACTAATACGTTGTCACTCTTCTTGTTATATAAACAAGACACCCATGTCTTGTTTACATAAATATTCAATTACAAGTTCCTTATATTACTCATCGGAGTTAGTCTATGTCATAAAGCCTCTATTCGCCACCTAGGAGCCTCATAATATTCTTGGGGCTCGGGTCATTTGGGCTTTTAGTACTACCAAGTCACATCCAATTCACGGGTTTAATTCTAAAACCGTGACAATAGCACAAATAAACGTAAAAATAAAATTAAATTTATTACAATGTATTGTTTCTGATCTTAAAATTATCATTTACAGGGACTTATTCATCGAGATTTGCATAGTAGCAATGTTTTAAAATATGGTTTAAACAGTGCATATCGATACATTGCAGATTTAGGACTCTCAATATTAGAGCTTCGATCCTATTTTCTCATGACTATCCGGATTGAATTCGGATTCTCTTTCACGAATCCGGTTATAATTCGAATTGAGTAAATTTGAATTTGATTCGAATTCAATCCGTAAAAATCATTGATCGACCAATCAAAATTGCGAATTTTGAAACTGGTAGAAAAAAGAATTTTTTTACATCTATTATCATAATTTCTGGGACATCTGCTCGTTACCCGAAATCTTTTTGGTCATTTGTTAAATTACTTAACTCCCCGGAAATTACATCACTGCCTCCGAACTGAAGGTCCGAAGACAGCGGTGTAGTTTCCGGAGAGTTAGGTAATTTATCGAACGACCAAAAAGATTTCGGGTAATGAGCAGGTGTCCCAGAAATTATGATAATAGCTGTAATATACATATTTAATTTAATTTTATTATTATTACTAGATGTTAGACCCGTCATTAAACGACGGGCAGGATGCAGGCATGTGCCCGTGACCTCGGTTATTTCCAAATCCGGATTTCCTGGCAGAAAGGCCGTTTCTGGAGGAAAGGGCAGAAATGGCGGAAACGGCGATTTTGGGATTAATGGAGTTTCTGTCAATAAGGGCATTTTTTCGATTATAGACGGCGATTGCAGTATAGGTAGTTTTTGTAGATAAAATGATTATTATAAAATAAAGGCCTTCTGGCCCTTGGGGAAAAACAACTCCCGCCTTTGCTTTATTAATGCAATCATATAATCATACAAATATCTCTAATAAATCATACAACCATATCCATAACATAATACATAATAAATTTATACGTTCTATAAGTTGTTACTAAACCAGTAAATCCTAAAAACTATCCCAAAACTCTGCTTAACCACTCGCCAAATCTAACACGCCTTTTTCGACCCAACCTAACCTAATTTTTGGTTACACGACGCTACTTTCGTCCTAGCGACAGACTCGCCGATTTTACGTAGGACTGTCAACAGTAAATAAAGAAAAATAATCATTCCAACAGCTCTTTACGGTTAGTGTTAGGATGAGAGAGTTTATTTTCTATATATTCTATAGTAAAATCATTCTAATGTTACCTGGAAATTGTCTCCCGATATCCCTATGACCGTTTTAAGTACTATCACGGGATTTTCAGGGATACTATGAACTTACCCCTGTTATTTAGCAAGTGTGATACACTTATCAACAACTCGAAGAAGAACTTGATTAGTGTCACGGGTTAATATGCAACACAGATCGTCTTGAACCGCCAAACCGATGATCTTTAAGGATCAAAGGGCGATCACCTTACTAACATTCGTATGCCCCCTTATCTGTATTATCATACACAGGGCCCCATTTTCCCAAATTGTTAAACCATACACATCACTTCTAATTACCATATCGGTCCCGATATTGGTGATGTGTAGCATAGGGACAACACATGCCGCGACATCAATGGTAGTCCCTAAAAGGGTCTATTCGTTGCTACGTCGATGATCTTGCTACCGAAATGACTCTATTATCCCAACGAAAAGTCTTATACCACCCGTGTCATCCATGCAGATGAGCAAGAAATGAATAAGCTTAATGCTTTTCACGAAGTTATCATACACAATCGTGACAGATCAAGGCCCATTGTAGAAAAAAAAAACCGAAGGAAGCATGGTAATATCGGGTGAGGGAATTGGAGTTGAAAAGAACGATCTCTAATAGATAGATCAATAGATAGGATTTCAATTCATCCATTGTAATTAAATATATAATCGCGTTTGTTATATAAAGGGCGCGAATTAGCCTAGTTAGCTCTTCAGTCTTCGACATCCCTTTAATAACTATATATCTTCATATATATAGTTCCCTTAATAGCCTAGTTTCGAATTCTCCATTGTATTCTTATAACTGTATCCATACAGTTATCTTTGTTTTATTAATAAACCATATACTTCGTGTCTTCATACACGATTGAATAAACTATCATATCACGTGTGACTCGTGATTGTTGAGTATTATTGTGTCGTCACGTGTGACTCGTGACTATTCTTAAATACAATACTTCGTATCTTCATATACGTTGTATTGTTAGCCTCTTTCGATAAAGCCTTACAAACCTCTTACTAAGTCGTTCATACGACGTTCTTTTGCCTCGCCAAATCATAGTAAAGTAGTCCGTGATAGACTAACTACCATAGTTCCCGGAATCGTTCTTAGAGGTCGATTTCGAGTGTAACACTAACATCTTTATGGTTGTATAGTCCCAATCTGGAAAAATCCATCATCTGTGTCTGAATTATCCGGATAATTCAGGTTGCTCAGATTTCCGGATAATCCGAAAGGTATTCGAATAATTATCTGGATACCAATAGTAAGCGAATATCCAGATCCGGATATCTGAGTCACGCATATTGCTTTACAGTAACTACGAATCAAATTTCATGATCACATGTAACGTAACACGAACAGAAAATTCAAAACAAGCGTTCGCTTTGACAAAAATCCCTTATTTCTCGAAAATCTGTGTAAGAAACCACCTTTAGTGTTCTAACAAAATGTTTTCGTTGGGCAATTTTATTATATAAACGCCTTCTTTCTAACCCCTAATCCTAACTCTTACCCAACATCAACGATCTTTAAAGGATTTTTGCTG